CTCCTCAATGCTGATGCTAATGATCAATGTTACCTGAGTTGTTCAAGAAACCCTTCAAAATAATTTTTGTGAGAATTTATCCATGGATTTGGCTATTGGGAGAGGAGTGATTAGGGTAAATAGAACAGTCTGACTTGTTATTTGTCAGAGCACAGAATTCTCACAAAGCAATCCCTGAACAATGTCTCCACTTAGGAGCAAAATTATTCTATGGAAAATGTTCCTAAAAAAGACTTTCAAGATACTGGACATCAGCATAGACAGGAAAACCTAACTGGAAACCAGCCCCACTTGATTACCTCAGAATAATGGTTTCAGAATTAAAGAATTTTTCATACTTGGAACTGAGAATTTGGCCGTATAGCCTCCTGGTCCTTACTTTGGGTTAGGTATCACAATGTGGTAGGTACTGCATTAACACCTGCTATGTATATATATGTAATATATTACATATATAATATCACCTAGTTTCCACTACAACTCGCAAAGTAGGTGTTGTTATCTCCTTTTATAAATGAGAAAACTGAGGTTCAGAGAGCTTCAACAACTTTTCCACACTCACATAGCAAGTGAGTAGTGGAGTCTGGACTTGAAAACAGGACTTATAGACTTCAAAGCCCAAGCTACTTACAGCTGTATATAAGCTTCTCAAATCAGAGTAGCAGTTATAACTTATGGATGATTTAACTTGGCATTGCATTGTTAAAACGATCTGTCCATCATCTGTGTGATATTCAAGGAAATGGTGTGAACCTGGCTGGGCAGGTACTGAAGGAGTTTGTCTTTTTGAAATGAATCGCTTGATTAGAGGTGGGAGATGGATCTTCCTATTTACTTTTATCTGGACTCTTCTGAACTTCTTCCCACTGTCCTTGTATGCTTTCTTTGTTCTCTCTCTCTTTACTTTTTTATCATAATGCATTTCTCTTCTAATATCTCTTTTCCTTGTTTCTTTCTCTCTTTTCATATTCTTTCTTTCTACTTTCTCTCTTCCTTATTCCTTTCTACCTCTCAGATTATTGCCAAACCTCATGAAATTAAGTTTAGTGCTGGATGAAGGTTTGCGGAGGAAAGTCTCCTCCTATCCTCAAGCTAGATATGTGTTATAGAGGATGGGATGCCTCTGGATAGAGACTATTAGTTATGGTTACTATCAATTTGGGATCAGAAATATCCTTGTCTACATGTGGAATCTATTAGAACAGGTTGTAGAGAGAGAAGAGCATCAGAGTCATGGCTCCTGGAGTGTGGAGGAGTTTAACCTCTCCTTCTGGAAATATTTATTGAGTTTCAAACCTATTTAGGAACTTTGGGTGATATAAAAATGAAAATGTTAAAGCATTATGATTAACAGCAAAAGACTACAGATTACAGATCAAGGAGTTTACCACTCACATTAAAAGGACAGATCACATTCCATTCTCTTCCTGAAATCCTTGACCTCACTGGTTACTGGTCCTTCCTTTGAACTTGGATTATTTTTTTCTCACACATTAAGTAATAATATTCTCTGCACATCATCTGGCATATATTGTATACTATGTTATATTATAGCTATTAGACGCACAATTTATGTCTTTGCAATGAATTCATTGAGTTTGTGACTTAAAAAAGTTAGAAGATATGAAACCCTGACCTTATGGACTGGAATTGTCAAGAAAAGATTAATGAAATAATTGAGAACTCATTTATTTTGAGGAGAGCAAAATATAGAGAGGCAGAAATGATAATAGTGGGATTACAAATTTTCTTTCAAATATTTTACCATTATTGTGCCTTTCCAAATGAGCACCAAAATAAGAAGAATGAGCACTCAAAGTATGGTAGCAATGAATAATCTCATTTCTGTTGTGGAAGATCAGAATTTTCCACCACCAAATGTGTCTCCTTGGCATGAGCATTATTTTGGGCTGGTTAGTTTTAAAAACTATAGGCATGGAAGAAGGTCTGAAAAAGTGAAATTTACCCTTTGTAAGAAATATTTTCATTTGTAAAGGAAATCTCCATCTGTAAAGGTATCTCCAGCTCTGTATTAGGAAGAAGGGAGGATGACCCTATCTCTAGAAACTCTTATCAACATGGGAAGAAAGGACTGAAATCTGCATAATAATCGTACTCTTGCTTTCTATGCTTTTCTGGTAATCTCCTGTAACTGACTCCTCCCACCCCAAACATCCTCCTTTGTCTTTAGCTAAAGATGTTATTTAAAGGAACAGCCTCCACCATTTTTGTGAGTTGCTCAGTTTTCCTGAGTCTCTCCATGTGTACATATCATAAAGCTTTGTTTGATTTTCTCCTATTATTCTGTGTCATGTCAATTTAATTTGTAGCCCAGCCAGAAGGACCCAGTGGGTAGAGGAAACGTTCTTCCTCCCCTACACTGTGTATAATATACTTCTAACATTTGATTGGTCACTTTTTTTGTATTTACTTATTGTTGTCATGAAAAGTAATTTAGTGCAAATAATAGGTTGTTTGTGCAAATGTTGGTGTTTGGTGTCAATTTTAACTCTGAAAATCACACTTTTAATTTTGATTTTTTACTCTTCTTATGTTATTTTCTACAGGATCTACAGTTTCTGGATCAGGAATGTAGAGGCACGAGTTCTTGTCTTCATTTCTGTCACTAGTGTGGCTATGAGCAATCACTTTATGTTTTTGAGTCTCAGGTTTTTCATCTGAACAGTCATCAGCCTGGACCAGACCATCTCTTCGATCAAAGTATCGGTATGATACAACTGGGTGTTTATGCTTGCCCACACAAAACTCTTCAGATTTTTTCACCAATAACTGTGTATTTATGTCCCTTCCCCCAGTCCCTCCATCATTCACCCTTGCATTTCATCCCATCAGTCCTCTTCATTTTGTCTCTCCCACAATGAGGAGCACATGTAGTTTCCTATTCTCCAGCTCAAGCTCACAGATTTCTGAAGACTGAAGAGGTGATGGTTATAGAATGTGTGTATCTTGAGACAAGGGACTGTAGGCTCAGGAGGTGACAGCAGAATCATTTGAATTAGTTGAGTATGGAGAGTCTCAGCTCAGAAGTGGTGAGCAAGAATTGAGATCAGATCACAGTGAGAGCTTCTGGAAGTTTTGCAGCAGAGGGATGTGTTAGGATAGGTGAGAGCATCAACTTGACATATTTTTGTGAGAATATTCTTCAGATTTCTGCAGTTATGTCTATAAAAGGAGAAGAATGTCAGTAAACTTGTTCTTCTGCATTTCAGCACCTTATAAGGGAATAAAACTTCAGGAGCTGTTTTCAGGGTTCACCCTCTACTGAGCATTGACTATGGTGGGTATTTGGACACAGAGCAATGGAATCCTCTCCACCCCCTCCGTCCTTTCTCCACCTAAACACACAAACATACTCGAAATTTAAAAGCCACCAACCCTTTAGTATCAGCTTATGTACATGTGATCAAATGAAGGAGAAAGCTCTGGTGCCCTCATATAATGTTACTGAAGTTTGAACTTCTCATTTGAAAATGGGCTAAAATCTCAAAAGTACAAGTGACCTCAGAGATGCAACATACCTGCATGGATTTCAGACACAATAAGCATGATGATATCGAATATCACAGCCAGTTACAATAAAGGAGAATATTGAATACTCTAAAAGAACAGAGATACCACTGAGCAGAAAAAGGGAGTGGGTGGGTGAGGCTGAGGCACTGATGAAGAAAAACTTAGTATTTCATTGTTTCCAAGTGCTGGCCATAAGCACCTTAGATGTATGGACAAACAGAAGCTATTCACAGGTGTATTTCACATCCTTGTGGTGAGAAAAGCACATGCTTTAGCAGAAACTAGGATGAAATCCCAAATACTTGTCCATATAATAGGCCTAGATCAAGGTTTTACTGGGAAAGATATAGGCTCCAGAGGAAACTTTATTGAGTAGTGTGGCCAGTAGAAAGTTCTGTATAATTTTGACGGAACACTGAAAAAATGGAAGATCCAGTGGATGGACCTTGAGGATATTATGGTAAGTGAAATACACCAGTCACAGAAAGACAAATATTGTGTGATTCCATTTATACGAAGTACTAAAGAAGTCAAACTCATAGAAATAGAAAGAAGAATGGTGTTACCAGATCCTGGGGGTGAGGGAAAGGGGAGTGGTTCTTTAACGGGTATAGAATTTCATACCAGCAAGATAAAAATGTTCTGGAGGTCTGTTTCACAACAATGTGAATGTATTTAATAGTGCTATTGAACTGTACACTTAAAAGGGTTAATATGGTCCATTTTATGTTGTGTGTTTCTTACCACAATACGAAAAATGGGAAGATTTAGAAGCTCATATGCTTGCTCTTTTCCTACTCTTGCCTGGTTCTGAAGTTTCGTATTCGTCAGTTTCATTTATCTTAATCTCAGCTACATCCTATTCTATAGTTTGTTTCTTCTTAATTCAGTCCCATCTCATGTTTCAGAAAACTCTCACTCCTTGAAGGTGGTCTATCAATTAACCATAGTTTTTCCCCAACTCTAATCTCTGAGTGTAAACCGTATGGAGAGAAGAAAATGAAAATGCTCATAAAAGGGAGATGAAACGTATCGATATGGGAAAGTAGGGTAAGATATAATATGTATACCTGTCTAGTTTCCCCTGGGAGTAATTAACTAAGTATATTTCTACCTGCTATCTCTCTCCCTTTGTAAGTATACTTTATTGCTTGTATATTTTGTTTCTTGCTGCGTGATCCTGTGAAGCTGTTGTTATTGCCTAATTCTCCTATTAATTTCAGGCTATGAGAGCTTTTGCTGATAGTGCCAATCATGATATATCTCTTGAGTTGTGCTTATATAACCATCATCATCATCACCATCATAATCATTATTTTGCATGTGTGAAGAATTATATAAGCAGGTAGTTCTCATTCATAACATGAACAGTGAAACATAGAAATTAATACCACTATCATCCCTAATAATCACAATTTCTTATTTTCTTAGTTCTTATAATTTGAGCCACAGCCCAGTTGTTTGGAGCAATGGATAGAGGGAATCACTCAATCGTGTCTGAGATTGTGTTTCTGGGACTCACTCATTCTTGGGAGATCCAGCTTCTCCTCCTGGTGTTCTCCTCTGTGTTCTATGTTGCAAGCATGATTGGAAACATGCTCATTCTGTTGTCTGTGACCACTGATCCCCATTTACACTCCCCCATGTACTTTCTACTAGCCAATCTCTCCATCGTTGACCTGGGAGTCTGCTCCACTACTGCCCCCAAGATGATTCATGACCTTTTCAGAAAGCGTAAAGTAATCTCCTTTGGAGGCTGCATTGTTCAGATCTTCTTCATCCACGTCCTTGGAGTTGTGGAGATTGTTCTGCTCATAGCCATGGCCTTTGACAGATATGTTGCCATATGTAAGCCTCTCCACTATGTGACCATTATGAGCCCAAAGACGTGTGTTTTGTTTCTGGCTGCTGCGTGGGCCATTGGTACTATTCACTCACTGTTCCAACTAGCATTCATCGTTAATCTATCCTTCTGTGGCCCTAATGTATTGGACAGCTTTTACTGTGACCTTCCTCGGCTCCTCAGACTGGCCTGTACAGATACCTACAGATTGCAGTTCATGGTCACCATCAACAGTGGGTTTCTTTGTGTTGGCTCTTTCTTTATACTCATCATTTCCTACATCTTCATCCTGTTCACTGTTTGGAAACATTACTCAGGTGGTTCATCCAAGGTCCTCTCCACTTTGTCAGCTCACATTACTGTGGTATTTTTTTTCTTTGGTCCAACCATGTTTGTCTATACATGGCCACATCCCAATTCCCAAATGGACAAGTTTCTTGCTCTCTCTGATGCTGTTCTCACTCCTTTTTTAAATCCAGTCATCTACACATTCAGGAATAAAGACATGCAGGCAGCAATGAAGAGATTTTTCAGACCATTAGTGATTTTTAGAAAGATATCATAAATACTGTTGTAAGGTCTTTATCCTGATCATCATATAGCCTTTATCTGGACTTTGAGAATTGGCTTCTTTGCTGCATCAGCAACTAATTTAATTGTTACCACACTTCTCAAGAAAGTTCCTCTTCCTGAAGAAGAATGAATATTTAGACGACATCTTAATTGAAAACTTATAGTGATCAATATAGCATTGCATATATATGTGCTAATTATATCATTTTTTTCTACCTGGTTTCTTTGTTTTCTTTTTCTCTCAAGGTTATCATTTTTATAATTGTCTTTCAATTACCCATAAATTTTCTCATAATCTGCCTCTTGAGGTAACCAAGATGCTAATTATTCACTTTGCCATTGATAACCTCTACTTTTACCAATAATCGCTCTTTTTCTTATTCCTTTGACAAGTTCAAAAACATGCATCTCTCATCCAAGTTCTTCTGGCTTATTGTAAGCCATCAATTCTCTCTTTATGATTTGGAGGGCATAGTCATCTTATTCATTAGGAAAATTTGCTGCTCAGATTCTTCTTTAAACAGTTAAAAATAATCTGATTTCAGACTAGAGGAGTACTAATCTCTCCTGCTTCATTGTGTTCAGCCTTTCTGTCTCTTTTCTCACTATACTTTCTCTTAGTTAATTGACTCATGATCACTCAATGTTTTTTCTCTTGGTAATATGAAGCCTCTAGGAGAATTTTGAAAAGCTTGAGATAATGACACCCAGTGGTTTCCTTTTGTTCACCTACATATGCATATACATGAACCAGTAATTTATTCATTCTTTCATTCATCTGTCCCCTAAAATTATTTATTTTTTTGCTTATTATATATATGAAATCATGCTTACTCTCTCTCTGGAATTGTTTCTAGGAATACATGGTAGTAGATCACAATGTATGGCTTGGGAGATTTCTAATTGAGAGAGTTATGAATCAATTATTTGCAACATAACATAGATATTTTTGCAGTGTTTTGTAAAACTCCAGTGTGAGATGTTCAGTGCTGGCCAAATGTTATAAGCCCAGCACAGCTTATTGTTCCCTTTAATTATGTCTAAACAATCTTGAGAAAAATACAAAAAATTACCAGAGGCAAGGAAAACAAAAGTAAAGAAAAGCTGGTGTATTGAAGAGGGGAATCAAAACTTGGGGAAGGAACCCATAAGTGGGTGAGTTTGTCTTTTTTCTCTTTTCCTTCTTTTTTCTCATGGCTTTTACTTGCAAACAGACCCCAAATGCAGGGCTGTAGTTGCCATAATACAGGGTGAAAAACTTTGAGACAAAACCAAGCTTTCTGGCCAGGACACTGGGAAAAGAAGTCTCTACAAGGTGAAGAGTGTGGGAGAAATATTTTTACTTCTTTTCTCTTCATTACTCTCTGCTCTGTCCTGGGGCAGCCCTTGTTGGAGAGCTATGGCAGTGGAGCAGGCAGCTAAAACTCTGAGGGCCACCACATCCTTTTGCACAAAGGAACTGAGAGAGAGCCCCTGTGGCCTGAAGAGTGTAAAGGAAATTCTCATAATATTTTCCTGCCTCTTTTTTCTTGCCACATTACACAAAGGAGAGAACCCAGTTTGGAGCTGCACGTCAGAATTCAGGCAGCTAAAACTGAAAGAGAAACCCCATATTTCTGGTCAGCTGAAGATGAAAAAGGGCCATGAAAGTTAAAGAGTGTGTAAAGATTCTTAGATATGAGAGACCTGGTGAAAGCAAACCCCTAATTCAATGTGTGCAACAGCACACATGCAGGACTGCTTCCTGAACTGTGTCTTCATGGGACAGACCGAAAGCAGCATAATGAGACTTTTGAAAATTTATCTAGGGTATTAACTGCTACCAAAATTCTAAGCTCACCAATGAGTGGACATGAGCGGGGCAGACTCAAAGTGGCATAGCAAAGCCTTTGAAAACAGAACTGACATTGCAGCTACTACCAACAGAAGTTACAACAGAACTTCTGGTCTGAACCTAATTTATTGCCTACTAAAAGAAGCAATGAGCAACAAAAAATTCTCCAGAGGATTTCAACATTACCCAGAATCTCACAACATAACATTCAAAATGTCCAAGACAAAATCTAAAATTACTTGACATACAAGAATCAGGAAAGTATGATCAATTCCAAAGGGAAAAGATAATCAGCAGATCCCAACTCCAACATTAACAAGTACTTGGCAAACAAATACTTTAAAGTAACTGTTATTACCACGATTTATGAGAGAGGTAAAGATGACTTAAATGAACAGAAATATAAAAATTCTCGGCAGAGATACAGACACTATAAACAAGAATGATACAAACATTTAGAACTTCCAAATACAATGTTTGAAATGAAAATTTACAGGATGAGATCAATAGCAGATGGAGATGCAAAGAAAGATGATGAATTTGAAGATAAATCAATAGAAATGATCTACTTGAAGAACATAGCTTAATCATATCCACTCTGGACAACAGAGATTATAAAGATAAAAACAAAAAAAAAGACCAGATTCTCAGAGACCTGGGGATAATACGAAAAGGTCTAACATTCTTATCACAGAGTCCCAGAAGGAGAGGAGACAGAGATTAGAATAGAAACAAAATATTTCAAAAAATAATGGGTGAAAACTTCCCAAATGAATTGAAAGAAATAAATTTACAGACTTGAAAAACTAGCAAAACCAAGCAGAATATATTCAAAGAAAATTATACCCAGAATCATTAAAATGAAACTTCACAAAACTACAGACAAAGAAAAATCCTGAAAGCAGCCTGAGAGAAAAGACACATTACATAGAGACTAATGTTATAAATACTATCAAATACTCAGAACAAAACATAAAAGCAAGAAGAGAGTGGAACTTCAGGAGGAACAAGAATGGTAAATCTCCCAGTAAATATAAAGAGATTATTTTTCTCCTCTTAAGTGCTCTAAAATATGTATAAACGTTAAAGGTAAAAATTACACGACTGAATCATGAGATTTTCAGATGTGAGATATTCAGATCGTGGAATATGTAGGTGTAGTACACGCAACAGTCATAATGTAAAGTGGGAAGGATCTTGAAAAGCAAATAATATGTCCTTTAGATTTTGTTTGAACTGGTGAAATATTAAATCTAAGTAGACTATTAGTGGTTAGCTATGTGTATTGTAATCCCTAGAGAACCACTAAACAGCCAAGACAAAAACAAGAAAGACATAGAGCCAAAAAGTCAATATAAAAAATTTTCAAATCATAAAAAATATTTAAATAATCCAAAAGAAACAGGAAAGGATAAAGAGAACAGAACCAGAGGAAACAAACAGAAAATATATGATAAAATGGTAGACTTAAATGACCACATTAATAATTTAATTACATACAGAGGCCTACATAACAATTAAAGACAAATATTATTAGATTAGAAAAAATTACCTAAATATATCTACAGGAAACCCATTTTAAATATAAAGAGACATAAATTTTAAAAGGTAAAGGATGGAAAATATATCATGTAAATGCAAATCAAAAGGAAATAAGAGTGGTTATAGCAATAACTAACAAAGTAGATCTCAGAACAAAGAAAATGACTAGGGATAAGGTGGACATCACACAATTGTGAAATAGTCAATTCACTAAGAAGATGTAAAAATCATAAATTTACATGCCCTTAACTACAGGGTTGCAAAATACAGGAAATACAAATTGATAAAATTGAAAAAAGAAATAGACAAATACACACTTATATTTGGAGACTTAGGCAACTCTCAGTAATCGATAGGAAAAGTAGACAGAAAAATCAAGACACAGAAGACTGATATAACACTATCAACCAATTTGACCCCGTAATCATTTGTAGCACAATCTACCCAACAACAGCAGAATATACTCTATTTTTACAATTGCGCACAGAATATTCACAAAGGCCAATAATTTTCTAGCCCATAAGGCAAACCTTACCAAAGTTAAAAGAATTGAAGTTGTACAAAATAGTTATCTGATAATAACAGAATTGAACTAAAAATAAGTAGAATGATATCTGGAAAATCCCCCAAATTTGGAAATTAGACAACAAATTTCAAATAATAAGTAGGTCAAAGAGGAAGTCATTAGGGAATTTGAATGAAAAAGAAAATACATCAAAATTAATGTAATGCCACTAGAACAATGCTTAGACAAAATTTTATGCTATTAAATGCTAACACTAGAAAATAAAGAAGTTATTAAACCAACTCTCTAATATTTCAACTTAAGAAATTAGGGAAAAAAGAGCAACTTAAATAAAGATAAGCAGAAAAAAAGAAACAATAATGATAATAGAAAAAAATCTCGAAAATAGAAAAATCTATAAAGTAATAACACACCAAAAGGAGATCTATGCAAAATATCAATAAATTGAAAACCCTGTGACTAGACTAACCAAGAAAAAAAAAGAGAGAAAACTAAATTATCACTATCAGAAATGAAAGATATGGCCTAACTATATACTCTAGACTCACGAAGAGGATAATAAGGAGACAGCACAATAAATTATATCCATATTTTTAACAAATTAAATAAAGTGTTCTAATTCTTGAAAGACACAAAACACCTAAGTTGACTCAATAAGAAAGAAATAACATGAATAGTTTTATATTAGTTAAAGAAACTGAATTTTTAGTTAAAAAATCTTCCAACAAAGAAAATTCTAGGTCCAGATGACTTCACTGGCAAATTCTATCAAACATTGAGGGAAGAAGTAATATCAATTTTACATAATGTTTTTTGGAAAATAGCAAAGAAGGGAAAAATTCCCAACTCAATACAAGAGATCAGCGTTATTCTGATATCAAAACTGTATAAAGGCATTACAAGAAAAGAAACTACAGACCAATATCCATCATGAAAACAGACACAAAAATACTAAACAAAATATTAGAAAATCAAAATCAGACATGTATGAAAAGGATAAATACATCATAACTAAGTGGGGTTTATCCTAGGAATGAGAGGCAGGCTCAACATTTAAACATCAATTGACAGATTGAAAAAGTAAAACCAC